TCACGCTTGAACAGTTTCAGGAGCATCGCGTCCAGCTCCAGGACAGTGAAGTTGAAATTGAGGCCCGGGCGCAGCCTTGTGATATCCGCCGAGTTCTGGAACTCCCAGGCGGGTCTCCTCCTCTCTTGCAGGGGGGCGATGCGGCGGCGAAGGAAATCTGCGCCAACAGCGCCTATGGTGATCCCGGCAAGTTTGAGGCGTAGGATCCGGATGACGGCAATCCTCAGCCTATCGTCCTCCGGGGCCATGTTGCTCCAATCGTTGCCGCGCGCTATTGGGGCTTGGCGCTGGGCGGTAAATGGCTGCGGGTTCTCCTCGACAATCCAGCACCATTCCGCTCTCCATTCCAACCACTTGCTGCGGAGCTCTCCCTCCAGATAAGCTTCCTTCTTCCCGGTCCTCGAGATCCAGGCGATTCCGCCAGATAAGGGCTCTCCTCTCTCTACTCGGGGCATAAAGAAGTGGCAGAAAAGAGCTACGTTGAGATAGACTCCGACAAAGTTTTCGCAGAGATGTGCGAAAACTGCCATGGTCAGGACAGCATTGGGGGTGAAGTCAAGGAGGCGGAACCCGTAGGTGTTCATGATGTCGCAGAAAAATTCAAAGAAGGGCGGGCAGAGCCCGCAGTAGAAGAACATCGTGAAGAAGGGGTACCCATTCGGAGCCAGTTCCGAAGCGGCAACTGGGAGTACCTTCGTGCGCGGATGCGCTCGCGTCTCCATTGACTAGAAGAGGTAGTAGTACTCCCTCAGCTCCTTCGCGCCAAGCTGAGGGGGGAAGATTGCCCGCTTCTTCCGCAGCGCCGCGAGCTGCTGCGCCTCGGCCGACTTCATGACCTTCCCCTTGTCGGCTTTCGGAGCCATGGCGGAGGTGGTGGGGGAGATCGACGGTGTTGGTGATGCTAGTGGCGACGAGGGGCGGAGCGCTACTTTCTTTCGACTTTGGCAAGAAGGGGGGAGCGGCGGAGATTTCTGAGATTGGAGTAGCAACCGGCGAGATGGGCGAACTGCCCCTGTTTCCTCTGCTTACGAAGAGGGAGGGGGCGGGCGTTCCGTCTTTCCGAATAAAGAAACCACCCACGATCTCTCCCACGATGCCGCATTCAACGCGTGCCGTTCGGGGAGAGCGCGGTGGATACGGAGAAAGATACGGCGTAACCCAGGCCGCGCGTGCCCGTGCCCTGTTTTGGGCCTGGCCCAACAGTGCTCGGCACCGTGTGTGGCCCAGGCCCGGGGGCTCCTGTCGGTGTACTAGAGTAGGGGTACCCTAGTATCCCGAACTTGTGCACGGGCAGTTGCAGCCACCCGCGGCAAGGCTTGCCGGGTGACCGCCAAGGTCCTCCGTGGTTCCTGTGGAGCCATTCAAGAACAAAGTATTCACACCAAGGAGACAAGGCCCCGGCAAGAGGAGCTTGCCGGGAAGGCCAACCAAGGCATAAGAACAAAGTATTCACGCCAAGGAGACAAGGCCCCAGCAAGAGGAGCTTGCCGGGAGGGCCAACCAAGGCATCTCAAGGAACTTGCCGCGACGCGCCACACGTCCCGGCGAGGCCCGCTGAGCGACAAGCTTCCAGACGCGACAAGACAACGACCGCGGCAAGGCGCTTGCCGCGACAAGCTACCACCTTGCACCTACGCTCCAGCACATCCACCAACGTGTCGCCCTGGGACCTCTCCAGGCGCGCGTGGCAGGATGCTGTGCAGCCAGCGGTGCGCGGTGGCAAGCGGCGCTGACAAGTTTGCCATCGTGGCGAGCGGTGGCGTCCCTGACGGTCCCTTTCTGCACTGTTTGGGCGACGTAGATGGGCATTTAATGCCTTTGTCCCCTGCCGTCAGGGTTAGGTAGGATACATTGTACAGGTAGCTGTACCAACCGCTATTCCTTTTCCATTTTTACCCTTGTCTACGTTGCCACCTGTCGGTGACCCCTTTAGCATATAAAAGGAGGCCCATGTGCAACGTAGAGGGGGGTTCGGAAGGTTCGAAGCCAGAAAACACTCACGCTCGGTCTCGTTAGCAGCTAGAGTGTACTGTAGCACTCAACGCTCCCGAGCAAGAACTCAATACACTCAGACATGCAGCAGTAGGAGTATTATCTCTCCGGAGAGCTCTGAAGCTGGGTAAACTGCTCGTGTGCTTCGCCTCGATCTGCTCTTCGTGCGATCTCCGCCCCCCGCCGAACCAAAAGGGGCTCGGTCCGCCGGCCCCATAGGTGTTCGTGGATCAGTTTTCCCCGACATTTGATCAATCAGCTAGTCAAGTAGAGGCATACTAGTGACACTATGTTTGTCTACGTATTCACACATGTATTATGTTTCCGGTTAATACAATTCTAGCATGAATAATAAACATTTATAATGATATGAGGAAATAAATAATAACTTTATTATTGCCTCTAGGGCATATTTCCTTCATCATGTCCTCCAAGCGCATGAATATCGCCTCGCTGACCCGATGGTTGTGGCGGATTGTGAATGGGAAGGGTGGACTCTAACTCGACATCATTCAGAGCAAATACCTTCTGCCAACGATCTGGCGGCTCCTAGTTCTGGCTGTTTGTCATCCAGTTGCTGCCAATCCTCTGCCTCCAGAACTCCATTTAGGACGGCTCTAGCGTTTCGACCTTGTTCTGGTTCGATCGTTGGGTTGGGGTTACCCCTTTCGCGTCCAGATTTTCGGACTTGTTCTTCATCATAGTGGAACCTAGGATCTTTGTCGAGGCGGCCCTTATTGACTTAGGGAGCCTGGCGTCCCGGCGGCCATTTGGTCCTCCGGAGCTTGTCACCTGGCATGAACTCCTCGAGCGCATTGCTCTACACGAACCAGATATGGACCAGGTGTTTGATCGGGTCTTTTGTCGCCTAGAGCCCTCGGGCCGATTGTCCTCCAAGTCTCTGTACCAAGATATTGTGGCCTCACCTGGCCCCGAGGCCCTCACAGTGCTCTGGGTGATTAGACTGACTCTGAAGATTAGGATCTCCTTGTGGCAATGGATCCACGCCCGAATACCTTCAAGGGTGGAGATACTAAAGCGGAGTGGGCCTGGTGACGGGATGTGCCCTCTATGTGCGATGGTGACTCTAACCACATCTTCTTCACATGCATCTCCGCTCACTTTCTTTGGAGCTGCTTTCGCGAGGTGGTTGGGGGTAATTGGTGCAACACCAACTTCCCCGACCTATTCGCGGAAATACTAGCCTCCCCGCCTCGCCACATTAGGTGGCTGGCTATCGGGGTCCTAGCCTAGACGTTGTGGACGGTCCGCAATAAACTTGTCATCCAATGGGTCCCCCTGCGACGTGCTACTGATGCTATCTACAAAATGCCTGGTTATTTGCAGCTTTAGCGGCCGCTTAGCCGCCCTCAGGACCGAGACGCCATCAACATCCTCATCAACAATCTTCGCGCGATGGCTCTTCGTTTGGCGCCACCGCTCCCTCCTCCACCACCCGAGCCGGACTAGACTTTGGTGATGTGTGTGTGGCATGTGCCGCCTGTTTTCTTTTTTCTTTTGTCTAGGGCTTGTCGAGCCGTGCCATCAGCAGAACGTGTTGTGCTACCTTGTGTGTGTGTGTTGTGTGCGGCGTGAAACTAGTTGGATTGGTGGTTGCTTTAAATATAAAACAGGGCGAAAGTCTTTTTCGATACAATGTTCAGTCAGAACCCGCCTGCTGCTTGATCACAGAAAGACCTGATCCTTTGATAATCTATGGAAGTACATGAATCAGATGCGAAGAATAGGCGAGGTTAATTAGTTATCGAACACTATATGTAACATATTTGTTTTTTCAACAAAGGGATATGTAATATATATTTGTACACGCGTAGATAGCCTGACGCTGACCGGTCCTTTGGTGGATTCCGGCCTAACCCCGGCCTGCCAAGTCAAAAGTCTATACTAAATGGCATGATTAGCGGCAGTGTGCCTGACGCACGCCATAGTAGCAAACCCCGTCCTTGGATAACCATGTAGAAAAATAGCTAGCATGCAGGCATGCATCCAGCCTTGAAAGGTGAAAGTGGGTGCTATTCCCACGTGATATTATATGCTGATCGGACCACTTGTGCACTACATTAAACGACGATGATCTAAACCTGCGCCATGTACTCAAGATGCATTGTATCTAGCTAAGCTAGTGCAACATTTGGGAGTGGACAGTAGAAAGCTAGTGCATTTTTATTCGAGGTTCGTGCCTATAAAGTAAGCTGCAATGTTGAAGGTGGATCAAACACTCAAACTCCAAACCATGTTCTCGCCTCCGCCCTGCACCAGCTCTAGCTCTTGTTCTGGCCAGGCAATGAAACACTAGAAGAAGAAGAAGAAGAAGAAGAAGAAGAAGAAGAAGAAGAAGAAGAAGGGGGAGGAGGAAAAGCCTGGAAAAGAGACCCCCAGGTACGCAAGTGATTCACAACAAGACACATTCCATGAATTAATGAATATATCTGCAAAATTATACTCCCTCCGTCCTTATTTCTATGGCGCTCAGATATTCCAAGGTTCAATTTTGACCATCAATTTGACCAACAAAACATGTTTATGTGTCATAAAAGTGGTAGTAATCAATTCGTATTTAAAAATACCCCCTTCGTAAAGAAATATAAGAGTGTTTAGATCACGATTTTGGTGTTCTGAACGCTTTAATATTTCCTTACAGAGTAGTTTCCAACTGTATATTTAGTATTTTAATATGCATCTGACAGAAGTTTTTTAGGGTTAAAAATCTGATGCTCACAGGTACATCGGATCCCGATTGAACACATGACAATTAGTACCTGTAGCATGGCAATTTTTCTGACAATTATTATACTACATGGCAATTTTTACTTATAAGTTATAACATGGCAAATCCTTTACATGAGCATGGCAAATTAATCTGTTTTTGCATGAAAAATCTGGGCGCCCGCTGAGAAAAGCTAAAAATGGAAACGATACATATATGCTGAGAAAAGCTAAATCTGGATAATTTATCTATTTCTACATATATGCAGAGCTACCCGGCCATGAAAGTGAATACAATCGGAAAACTACTTCTCTTGGTGTTGGTGACTATCACTGCACATTATCTGGTCGTCTGCAGCTCCTCCTTCTTACATGGAAACAATACAGATATGTTATCGCTGCTTGACTTTAAGGATGCAATCAGTCTCGATCCACAACAAGCCTTCATGTCTTGGAACGATAGCACCCACTTCTGCAGTTGGGAAGGCGTACTGTGCAGGTTGAAGGCTACACGTCGTGTCATTTCCCTAAACCTTACAAGTCGAGGTTTAGTAGGACAAATCTCTCCTTCACTTGGGAACCTAACATTTCTAGATTCTCTAGTCCTGACAGTGAACACACTCGCTGGAGACATCCCAACCACCCTCGGTCACCTGCATCACCTCCAAACCCTACGACTGAATAATAACATACTGCAAGGAAGGATACCGAGTTTCACAAACTGCACAGAGTTAAAAGTGTTTCATGTTGCATTTAACAATCTAGTTGGCCAATTTCTTGCTAATTTTCCTCGCCTTCAGATGCTGCAGGTTTCAGGTAATAACCTCACTGGCACCATCCCAACTTCTCTTGCCAATATCACGACACTAACCCACATTACCTTCTCATATAATCACATCAGGGGAAATATCCCAAGTGAGTTTGCGGATTTGTCTAGTTTGCAATACTTGTATGCAGCTGCCAACCAGCTAACAGGCAGATTTCCACAAGCCATCTTGAATCTTTCTACTCTCATTGGCCTTGACCTTGGTCCCAATGGTCTAAGTGGACAGGTACCACCAAATCTCTATGCCTCTCTGCCCAATCTCCAGATACTTGTATTAGCCGAGAACTTCTTTCTAGGAAACATTCCCAGTTCATTCACTAACGCTTCCAATATATATGATGTTGATTTATCAATCAACAACTTCACCGGATTGGTGCCCGCCACGATTGGCAGACTTACAAAACTCTCGTATTTGAATCTTGAACAAAATCAACTCCAAGCTAATAGCAAGCAAGATTGGGAGTTTATGGACAACTTAGGCAACTGCACAGAGCTGCAGATGTTCTCCCTGAGTTGGAACCGTCTATCAGGGCATGTACCAAGTTCTATAGGTAACCTTTCCAATCAACTCCAAAAACTATACCTTGGAGAAAATCAACTATCAGGAGATTTTCCTTCGGGCATACAAAACCTTCACAACCTTATTCTATTATCATTGGGGGCGAATCACTTTACGGGTGTGGTTCCAGAGTGGATTGGGACTATTAAAACTTTGCAACTAGTAGATTTGGGAGGAAACTACTTCACCGGGGGTATTCCATCATCCTTGTCAAACTTGTCTCAATTAGGATGGCTATATCTAGACTCGAACCAGTTCATTGGTCATATACCACCAAGCCTCGGAAACTTTCCAATGCTTCAATGTTTGGACATTTACAACAATAATCTTAATGGTAAAATTCCAATGGAGATCTTCAAAATTCCAACAATGTTCATACTTAAATTATCTTCCAACATCCTTGATGGACAACTTCCTACCAACATTGGAAATGCTAAACAACTCGTACATTTGTTACTTTCATCAAACAAGCTATCCGGAGATATTCCAAACACTTTGGGTGATTGTGAAAGTTTAGAAGACATCGAGCTAGGCTCGAATATTTTCAGCGGAAGTATTCCTGCTTCACTAGGCAACATAAGCGGCCTCAAAGTTTTGAATTTGTCTGCCAATAACTTAAATGGGTCAATACCAACATCTCTTGTCAACCTGCATCTTCTTGAGAAACTAGATTTGTCATTCAACCATCTAAACGGAGAGGTTCCAACAAAAGGGATATTTAAGAATGCAACTATTGTGTGGATTGATGGAAATCAGGGGCTTTGTGGTGGAGTAATAGAGTTACACATGCTAGCATGTTCTGTTATGCCTTTAAATTCAATTAGGCACAAGAGATCTGTGATGCTCAAAATAATTACTCCAATAGCCAGCATGGTGTCACTTGCTATGGTCATATTTGTTTTATTTCATTGGAGAGGAAAGCACAAGAGGAATTTTGTATCACTACCGTCATTTGCTACAAAATTTCCCAAAGTTTCTTTCAACGACCTAGCCAAAGCAACACATGGGTTCTCAACGTCCAACCTAATTGGCAGAGGGGGATATAGTTCTGTATACAAAGGAAAACTAGTGGAAGATGAAAATGAGGTCGCCATAAAAGTCTTCAACCTAGAGACAAGAGGAGCGCAAAAGAGCTTCATTGCAGAATGTAATGCATTGAGAAATGTGCGGCACCGTAATCTGGTCCATATCATAACTGCATGCTCAGGCATAGATTCTAATGGTAATGATTTCAAGGCCCTGGTGTACGAGCTGATGCCAGGAGGAGACTTACATAAACTGCTATACTCGAACCAGGACCGTGAAGGCTCTTTTGATTTGTACTGCATTACAATGGCTCAACGCATAAGCATTTTGGTGGATGTAGCAGATGCACTGGAGTATTTACACCACAACAACGAAGGCACAATGGTTTATTGTGATCTAAAGCCTAGCAACATTCTTTTGGATGACAATATGATTGCTCATGTTGGAGACTTTGGCCTGGCAAGATTCAAAGTTGGTTCGACTTCATCATCTCAGTGTAACTCAAGTTCTTCTTCGGTTGCAGTAATGGGAACAATTGGATACACTGCTCCAGGTAATTGAATCTTAAAAAAAATCATGTCACCACGTTTTATTTTGTACATCTATGTAAACCAATGAAAGTAAAATTAACTCCTTTTGTATTCATTGATGCATAGAATATGCAGGGGGTGGTCAAGTTTCAACCGCCGCGGATGTTTACAGCTTTGGTGTCGTTCTCCTCGAGATCTTCATTCGAAGAAGGCCAACTGATGACATGTTTAAGGATGGACTGAACATTGTGAAGTTTACAGAGAATTAGCTTCCCTGATAGGGTATTGGGGATTGTGGATCCCCAGCTGCTACAGGAATTGGAGGAAAATCCAGTGGCGTTGAAGGAAACAAGTTTAAATTGTCTGCTATCTATTCTAAACATTGGCCTTTGTTGCACTAAGCCATCTCCAGGTGAACGTATCACCATGCATGAGGTGGCTGCCAAGCTACATGGAATCAGGGAAGCACATCTCAACGCTAACTGAATAGACAAGTTGTTGTATAATTGGCTTTTATCACATAGCGTCTATGTAAGAAGTACTGTATTAGCTAGCTGAGCAAGCAAGTTTTTGTACAGCTTTATCTGTGGCAAAACTACCCTTCAAACAAATATGCCTGACAGGCTGACACTACCCGAGTATTACAAAAAAATTACCTACAGAACGAAGTACGAAACGGAGGAGATTGATGTAAAACTGTATCCAGTAATTCAGGCGATATGCTTTTTTTTAGAAAAGGAGGATGACCCCAGCCTCTGCATCTGGGCGATGCATACGGCCACTTTATTAATTATGAGTTATGAATGACTAAATCTTCTATTCTGGAGACACCCCAATTTGGTCTCTCTGGAGGTACGTACTTGTTTGGATGGTAGGCCAGAAAGAAACAAAACAAAAAGTTGTGTGTGATGGTCACTGATTTGCACCGAAACTCACACAAGCGCAAGCATGTTACTGCTTATCTGAACCTGAACTCTTATGACATGCTTGGTGTTTACCCACTATTGTACCTTTGTCACATTTGCCAGCTATAAGTCGGTGTTTCTAAGGTCGGCGTCAGATAGATTAGCATGCACCTGAATTCAACATCAAACAGTCAAATAAAATAATACCACTTACCATCTCAGAACTTGACACTTGACAGTGCGCAAGCATCACTACAAATTGTCTGGGTTTTTTTGTCTACTGCTGGCTGGAGTCTCTGAGGTGAGGAGATGAAGAACAAATGCAAATCAGTAGGCTGCAGCGCCTTTGTACCATCATTGATGACCTCGACAAAATTGCAGAGACCCGCACCTTATCTCAACATGAGATTGAATTGAAAAATCAATCTAATGAGAAGGTTGCCCGTCTTCTGCGAGAAGAGGAGATCAAATACTACCAGAGGTCCAAAGCTGACTTCATTCTAATGGGAGATAGTAATACAAGATACTTCCAATTGCTCGCCAATGGTCGACATAGGAAGAAATGTATTCATAGTCTCCAACAGGATGAGGGGCGGATCGAAGGTCAAAGGGATCTCAAAAACTATATCACCAGCTACTACAAATCTCTGTTCGGAGCGTCGGATGAAGGGAATGTCACCCTTGACGAGACCCGAACAGATGATATTCCACAAGTCACGGCAGAAGAGAATGATATCCTCACAGCACCTTTCTCAGAAGAGGAGGTGAGAGCGGCAGTGTTCCAAATGGAACACAACAAAGCTCCAGGCCCTGATGGTTTCCCCGCAGAATTCTATCAGAATTTCTGGGATATCATCAAGGCTGACCTTTTGGAGTTGTTCAATTGTATTCATGCCGATCAACTTGATCTATTCAGAATAAATTTTGGCGAGATTGTTTTGTTGCCGAAGATTAAGGATGCTGAACGGATTCAGCGGTTCAGACCCATATGTCTCCTTAATGTTAGCTTCAAGATTTTCACCAAAGTGGCTACGGATAGGTTAAACTTGATAGCTGACCGTGTTGTCCGTCCATCTCAAACGGCCTTCATGCAAGGACGAAATATACTAGATGGTGTAGTAATCCTGCATGAGACCGTCCACGAGATGCACCGAAAAAATATGAGTGGAGTGATATTCAAAATTGACTTTGAAAAGGCATATGACAAGGTCAAGTGGTCTTTCCTTCAACAGGCCCTAAGGATGAAAGGTTTCTCCGATAAATGGCGCCAGTGGATCCACAATTTTGTAACTGGAGGTAGTGTGGCCATCAAAGTCAATGATGATGTAGGCCATTACTTTCAGACAAAAAAAGGACTACGGCAGGGTGACTCCATGTCCCCAATGTTATTTAACATTGTCGCTGACATGTTGGCGATTCTGATTGAGCGCGCCAAGCAGGACGGCCAGATTGCAGGAGTAGTGCCACACCTTGTGGATGGTGGCCTCTCTATTTTACAATACGCCGATGACACAATTCTTTTTATGGAACATGATCTGGACAAGGCTCGAAACCTGAAACTCTTGCTTTCAGCGTTTGAGCAAATGTCGGGTCTCAAAATAAACTTCCATAAAAGTGAATTGTTCTGCTTTGGAGAAGCCGTTGAGGCGGCGGCCGATTATGCTGACCTATTTGGTTGCGCACATGGCCAATTCCCGATTAAATATCTGGGAATACCGATTCATTATCGACGCCTCACCATTGTGGAGTGGAAGCATGTAGAGGAGCGTCTAGAGAAATGGTTGAGTAGTTGGAAAGGCAAACTACTCTCAGTTGGAGGACGGTTGGTTTTGATTAACTCTGTCCTCACAAATATGGTTCTCTATATGCTTTCTTTCTTTCAACTCCCAAAAGGGGTCCTAAAAAGATTGGATTATTTTAGATCCAGATTCTTTTGGCAAGGAGACGGTGAAAAGAAAAAATACAGGCTGACCAAATGGAGCATGGTTTGTAGGCCGAAAGACCAAGAGGGGCTCGGAATTCATGACTTGCAGGTCAAAAACGAGGCCCTACTCAGTAAATGGTTGTTCAAACTTCTTACTAAGGATGGTGTTTGGCAAACCATGCTGCGCAACAAGTATCTAGGTCAAAAGGCGGTGTCCCAGGAATTTTGGAAACCTGGCGATTCGCACTTTTGGGCTGGCCTAATGGCGGCAAAGAAACATCTCTTTCGCTTTGGGTCTTTCGCGATAAAGGATGGGTCGGAGATTCGTTTTTGGGAAGACATCTGGCTAGGCAATGCCAGTCTCCGAGAACAATATCCAGGCTTATACAACATTGTTCGCGATAAGAATAATACTATTGCGCAAGTGCTCAGTTCATTCCCGATGAATATTTGGTTCAGGCGGGATTTGATTGGCCCCCGACTTGTGTCATGGCATAATCTTTTATCCCGACTGGATTCGATTAATCTGACACAAGGCCGGGATGTGTTTCGCTGGAACCTTACTACATCAGGGTCTTTCACTGTAGACTCTATGTATCGTGCACTCACACATTTTGAGATACCAGTGAGTAATAACAAGAAAATCTGAAAGTCCAAGATTCCATTAAAAGTGAAAATTTTCATGTGGTATCTTCGTAGGGGGGTTGTGTTAACCAAAGACAATCTCGCACGACGCAACTGGCAAGGGAGTAAGAAGTGTTGTTTTTGTACTCATGACGAAACAATCAAACACCTCCTTTTCCAATGCAAGTTTGCACGTTCTACGTGATCAGTCATCCAAATAGCATCAAATTTGTATCCGCCCACAACTGTTGCCAATATTTTTGGTCATTGGTTGGACGGTATTTCAAATAGGTTCAAAACGCTAATAAGGGTGGGAGTGTATGCCTTAATTTGGTCGCTTTGGGTATGTAGAAATGATTTTGTTTTTGATGAAAGAAATGCTTCTCCTCTATAGGTTATTTTCCGGTGTACGCAATTGCTACGTATGTGGTCTATGTTACAACGACCGGAGGACCAACCTTTGTTCAAGGCGGTGTGTATGCGATTGGAGCAGGTTTTCTATGGAGGTTTTTTCCCAACATGGGTGGCAATATAACTTTCGGATCGATCTACCACCTCCATCGACATAGGCATAGTGTCGGTCTATAGGGCTCTACTATTGCAGATTTGTCGGGGTTTTTTTCATCATTTTTTGTCAGACCTTCATATTGGGTCGTATGCATCCTAGTTATGCAGAGGCCGGGTGTTACTCATAATGTTTTGTATCCGCTTGATGCTACATTTGAGATAATAAAATCGTCCTTTATCGAAAAAAAGTAGGCTGCAGCAGGAACACAGATTCTGAAAACATCAAAAACACACCGAACATTCAGTATTTCTGTTGTATTTCTACAAGCTAGAAAGTTGAGTCAGAGCCTCACCGCAAGAGACTTGATCACATCAGTTGAAGTACAGGAATCGAGGGAAATTCTAGAAGCTAATTTTATACAGTGACTTGATCACATGAGTTGCTGCCTACCATGTAGCGACTGATGTGCCATTATTACATTTGCTAGCGAGAAGTCGGCGTTTCTAAGTAGGCCAGAGTTCGAGAGATAGGCACCTGCACTGACAATCAAACAGGCAAGGACGATCACACATTGTTTCAGACTTGACAACTGACAGTGGGCAAGCATCACAGCAACTAGTGTCTGACTAGTGCCGAGGAGATCAAGAACAGATGCAAGATCAGTACGCTACCCATGGCATCTACATTGAAGAAACTGGCGCCGAGCAGCTTTGCGACTTTGAAGTTCGTCCGCTGCGGTATATGCCACAGCAAAAGAACACAGATTCAGAGGAAAAAGAACAATCTGAACTTTTTTTTTAAAAAAAAACCTCTGAACTTACCCCGCAAAAGAAAAAACTCTGAACTTGTGAAGGTCTGTTCTATTTTTCTACTTAATCAGTAAAACATGTTGCTCCCAACGTCAGTCATAACCTGCTACGTAATCAGTAAAACACCTTTCCGGAAAAAAAGAACTTAAAGTCACTGAAATGCAAAGGGACATGGGACTTCACCGTTTCCAATCCTTATTTTTGTGTTACTGAAGGGATTAGATTTGATCGAGATTGTATCAATGGAAGAGGTTACTTAATTAGGATGGGGTGGAGATCCTCCTGCCCCGCGTCACCTGCCACGCACACACACTCAAGCCATTAAGGACCTGTTCAGTAATCAGCCGCTCCTGGAATCTGTGGAGCGGGGAAACTGCAACTCCGCTAACTCTGCTCCCGGAGTTGTGGAGCGGAGCGATACCGAACAGTGCCTAACTCCCCTTACCAGTCGTGGGCTTCCTCACACTGCCCGGTGGGACCTTTTCCTGCATTAAAAAAAATCAGTTGCCTCGCTGGCCCGGGCTCTGGGTGGGTTTGTGCCAACCTAACGACAAATACGTTAATCTGAAAATTAGTGTGCCTTTTACTCAATAAAGAAGATTAGTGCGTCTAACACTACAATTTGCCGTGATTAGTTAGAGTAACACTCACAATAATGATGTAATAGATCACCAATGTGGATGTCGCGCCTATAAAAGGAAGGCCACAATGGCGGAGGTTGATCAAACACTCACAGTCCACACTCCAAATTAACCTGTACACACATATGCTTGGTTTCTCTCTTCTTCGCCTCTGCCCTCCGGCGGTTGTATCTCTTGTGTCTCGGCCCGAAAAGGAAAAGCTAGAGTATCGGTATATACGAAAGAAAGAGGAATCCTCAGGTAATTATTACTATTAGTAAACAACAATCATTGCATGAGTGGTTATCTATCTGCCAACATATCTGTTACTTATTACTATTAACTATTTAGTTTAAAATTCGCCTTGTTTTTATGCATGCATATGTAGTGACTACTGAAGATCTAACTTGACCAAGATACATTCATAGCCACCCGGCCATGAAAGTTGCCAGGATTGGATGGTTACTTCTCTGGGTGTTGGCGGCTTGCAGCGCACATGTCGTCATCTGCAACACCTCAATCTCGTATGGAAACGAGACGGATCGGCTATCGCTACTTGCATTCAAGGATGCAATCAGTCTCGATCCACAACAAACCTTCATGTCCTGGAACGATAGCACTCACTTCTACAATTGGGAAGGTGTCCTATGCAGGGTCAAGGCTCCACGTCGTGTCATTTCTCTAAACCTTACAAGTCGAGGTTTGGTAGGATTCATCTCTCCTTCACTTGGGAACCTAACATTCATGCGCTCTCTAGCCCTCACAGCAAACACACTAGCCGGAGAGATCCCACCCTCCCTTTGCCACATGCGTCGCCTCCAAACACTCCTCTTGAATAGTAACATGCTACAAGGAAGGGTGCCGAGTTTCACTAACTGCTCAAATCTCAAGGTGTTGGATGTTTCGAATAACAATATAGTAGGCCATCTCTATGCTGATTTTCCTCCTCACTTTCAGGTGTTGCACGTTTGGTCTAATAACCTTACTGACACCATACCAACTTCTCTTGTCAATATCACAACATTAACCAGGATTAACTGTGAGAATAATCACATAAAGGGGAATATCCCTAGTGAGTTTGCAGAATTGACCAACTTGCAGCACATGTGTGTGAGTGCTAATCAGCTGTCAGGAAGATTTCCACATGCCATCTTGAATCTTTCTACTCTTACCATCCTCGAACTTGCTGCCAATGGTCTAAGGGGAGAGGTTCCACCAAATCTCTTTACCTCTCTTCCCAATCTCCAGACAGGCCGGATTCTCCGACGCCATCAGTGCTCGTTGGATCGAGGCTCGTGCCCACCCCCACCCCTGCCCCCCTTCCGCCATAGACGCGTGGCACTTCTGTGCGAAGCGTGCTCGGCAATTTATGAAGGGGTGGGGAGCCAACTTGGGCCGTGACACCAGGGAGCGTAAGAGGGCGCTGCTGACTGCGATCCAGGCCCTTGACCTCCGGGCTGACGCGGTTGGTCTCTCCCCGGACGAGTGGCTGTCCCGCTATGACCTCGAGGACCAGCTCTCCGTGATCTACACTGATGAGGAGGCCTATTGGCGTATCCGGGGCGCTCAGCGTTGGGTCTTGAAGGGTGACGCGAATACGGCTTACTTCCAGGCGATCGCCAACGGGCGTCGCAGACGCAACACCATCCCCTACCTTTGGGATGGAGCCTCTCTCCTTCAGGACCCCGGGGACATCCGCTCCCATGTTGATGGGTTCTATCGTTCCCTCTTCTCCCCCGCTCCTTGGAGCGGTCTCTCTCTCGCCCTTGATTGCTGGACCGACGCCCATCTGGTTTCTGAAGCCGATAACACATCCCTGACGACCCCCTTGTCTGAACAGGAGGTCTGGGAGGCCATCAGGGGTATGAACCCCTCCTCGGCGCCGGGCCCTGACGGTCTTCTGGTCATCTTCTTCCAGACCTTCTGGAACGTGATTAAGCCTGGGATCATGGCCATCTTCGAGGAATTCTTCGTGGGCTCGATTGACCTTGGCCGCCTCAACTTTGGGACCATCTCCCTCATTCCCAAGGTCCCTGGGGCGACGGACATCCGCCAGTTCCGCCCGATTACGGTCATCAACGTGATCTTCCGGATCCTGGCCAAGGGGTACGCCAATAGGGTGACCCTGCTTGCTGACCGGATCACTCACCCTAACCAATCTGCGTTCATTAAGGGCCGGTACATCCTAGATGGTGTCCTGGTCCTGCACGAGGTCCTTCATGAAGTCCGGGTCAAACACCCGAAGGCGGTCTTTCTGAAAATCGATTTTCACAAGGCCTATGACATGGTTAGCTGGTCCTTCCTTAAGGAAGTTCTTCTGCGAAAGGGCTTTGACGACCGATGGATCACGAGAGTCATGCAAATGGTCTCTTGCGGTCGCACGGCGGTCAACATTAACGGCGAGATCGGCCCCTTCTTCCCTACCCTTTGTGGGGTGCGCCAAGGCGACCCCTTCTCCCCGTTCCTCTTCAATATGGTCGTGGACGCTTTGGCCTCCATTCTAGACAAGGCAAAAGCCGCGGGCCACCTCCGTGGTATTACCCCCCATCTCTCCGGGGGCGCGGGGATCTCCATCCTCCAGTATGCCGATGACACGATCATCATGGTTGAAGGCTCGGAGCTGGATATCACCAACCTAAAGTTCCTCCTTTGCTTCCAACAGATGTCGGGCCTCAAGATCAACTTTGATAAGAGCGATGTTATGGTGATGGGATACTCTCCCGTTGAGTTAGTGGCCATCGCCAATAGACTTAATTGCCGCCTGGGCTCGTTCCCCACTACCTACCTTGGGACGCCCATCAGTGACTCGCGCCTCTTGGCCGCTGATCTTCGCCCCTCCGTGACCAAGCTCCAGACTAGATGCGAGCCCTGGCAGGGGAGGTGGCTCTCCAAGGCGGCCCGGACTATTCTTATCAACTCCTCCCTCTCCAGCCTCCTCTTATTTCTTATGAGTTTCTACAGCCTCCACGAATCTCTCCATAAGGAGATCGCCAAAATCCAGTCCCGCTTCTATTGGGCTGGCGAGCACGGCAAGCAGAAGTATCACATGGTCAGCTGGCCTGACATCTGCAAGCCTCGGGAGCAGGGTGGATTAGGGATCATGTGCTCTAAGCGGATGAATATTGCCCTCCTATCCCGGTGGCTGTGGCGCATCTCGCAGGGTCAGGGTGGCCTATGGCTGGACATTATCCGGAATAAATACCTGCGCGGCCAACCCCTTGCCTTCTGCCAGAAGTCGGGAGGTTCTCAGTTCTGGCAGTCCCTCGTCCAGCTCCTCCCTGTGCTCCGCATTGGTACCTCTATCTCGGTAGGGTCCGGCCTCTCAACGCTCTTCTGGTTTGACCGATGGGCCGGCGACTCCCCCTTTGCGGCTCGCTTCCCCATCCTCTTCTCTATCTCTGTCGACCCCATGATTTCTGTTGATAGGGCCCTTATTGACTTAGGGCGCCTCGCTTTCCGTCGGCCATTTGGGCCTGCGGAATCCGCCGCCTGGCGTGAGCTGCTTGATTGCGTCGCTCTGCATGAGCCGCTGGTGGATGGAGCCCAAGACCGTGTGCGTTGGCACTTGGAGTCGTCGGGCCAGTTCTCTACCAAATCGCTCTACATGGCCATTGCCCCCTCCTCCGCTCCCCCCCCTCTTGATGGTGTGGTCCGTCCGTCTCCCACTAAAGATCCGCATCTTCATGTGGCAGTGGATCCGTGGACGGATCCCATCCGGTGTGGAGGTCCGCAAGCGTAATGGCCCAGGCACTGGTATCTGCCCGC